ATCCATATGAGTATCTGCAGGACTTTTTGACATTTTGAATAATATCTTTACTGAGCATGAAACACCTGGTAATTAATCTATGAATGAAAGTGTTGCAGTGACAATTGCTATGTAGCTGATCTGGGGAACCCCAATCCAGGGTAGCTGAGGTCACTTACATAGGAACGTTCCCAATGCTTTTAGAAATTTTCCATTTGTGGTAAGTCATGTCAGCACCTGAAAAACTTTCGGATTTTGGAATTTTGGGTAATCGAAGTTCAAAGAAGTGTTGTCTTTACCTAGATGCACAGGCTTCACTCATTCAAAGCCATTTTTAACTATTGATCTTAGAAAGTGGTTGTAGTCAGTTTAGATATTTATAAATTATAAAATGTAATGGTTTCTTATGTTTTTAAAGAAATTGTTTAAATAATTTTTTACCTTTGAAAAATAATGAGAACTCTTATTTCAAACCTCTACCTGTATTGAAGCCATGCTCAATCGTAGAAAAGGTTTTAGGAGAAAACCCTTTGAGGATAAAATCTGAAACTGGAGTCCCAAAGGCAGTCTAACATTGCCTCCAATCTTGTGATAACACCGGTGCTATGCAAGATAGTTTTCAGTTCTTCTTCTGGAAACATTGGTGGCATGAAGGGGGGAGATATGTTGCATGCAAAACTGCTGAAAAGTTATCAACTGTTCTATTTCCTCAAATGTGACCAATTGTCAAGCAACCCCCCCCTCTCTCTCTAGTTAACCTAAGAACTTTTTAGAACCTCCTCATAAATATACAGGTTAAGTGTCCTTCATCCAAAATTCCAAAATCTGAAAGTTTCTCAGATGCTGACATCATGACTCGCCACAAATGGGAAGGTTCCTAGGTGATGTGCAACTATTCTAAGTGACCTCATCTGCCCTTGATTGGGGTTTCCCAGCCGAGCTACATAGCCTATGTTGGCGCCAGTTTTTTGTTAGCAATCGTCACTGCAACACTTTCATTCGTAGATTTATTACCAGGTGTTTCATGCTCAGTAAAGATATTATTCAAAATGTCAAAAAGTCCTGCAGATACTCATATGGATAGAGAAAAGAAAAAAAAAGCATTTATGTTTATCAATAATCAGCGAAAGTCAAACTGTTGGAAAAACTAGACAGGAGTGTTAAGTGTGAAGCATCTGACTGAGGAGTTTGGTGTTGGAACAACCACCATATATGACCTCAGGAAACAGAAGGAGAAAATGTTAATTTTTTATGCTGAAAGTGATGAACAGAAATTAAGGAAAAATAGAAAAACACTACACAGAGCAAAAAATGATGATTTCAATCATGTATTGATAGAGTGGATTTGTCAGCGTCGATGTGAACATATGCTGCTTATTTAAAACTAACTTAAGCTGTGTTATGAAATGTAAAGGGATATCGTGTTTATGCTTGGGTTCCATTCCCAAGCTGCCCTATTTTATAGATGCGATATTCAAATTAAATAGCCTTTATTCCAAAATCCTAAAAAATCTGAAAACCGAAGCACTTTTGGTTCTAAGAATTTTGGGTAATGGATTCTCAATCTGTATTTGTCTGTTTTCTCCTTTTTCAGCATTTTATGTTGTCCAGGTTTTAAGCTTGCTAAATTAAAATAGATATAACCTGTATTTTATAGTGGAAAGCTTCAGTGAATATTCGAAGTAAATGTATTTAGTCATGTGGTTGGTTCTCATAAAATATAATTCTTAAGTGCCAACTCATAAAATAGATTACTCTGTGATTTATGTAATGTTTACTTCTCTTATCAGGAATATTTTTGAAGTACTCTGATATTTTTATTCAAAGAATTAAGGCTTTTCATAGTTAGGTTTCCTTCATATATTTTTTCTTCCAATTCAAAAGGACAACGAAAACCTTAAAGTATTTTGTGATACCAAAGTATGGTAAAAATGGTACTGCAGAAGAATATCTTCATTTTCATGTAAAATTCTCATGACCTACAAGTTTGGTACCCATCAGGATCCTAATGGCAAAATCATGAAAATTCAAATCTAAATTCTTTGTCCATTTAAAATACAGTGTAACTCAGATATAAGAGACCCGGATATAAGAGAGATTTTCTTTGGTCCCAAATTAGAGCTTGTGTTAATGTATATAAAATAGACCAAACCCGGATATAAGAGACTTCTTCTCCGGTCCCAACAACTCTCTTATATCTGGGTTACACTGTACTACATTTATTAGAAAATATATTGAGACTGGGAGAGCTTACATGGTGGAAACTCCTCTCTCAGTCTTCTTCAAACATACTGTCTTGAAAACTGTTACCCTCATATGAGAATGCAAATATACACACTATATACAATGCAGGTAATGTAACCTACTTCAGAAAAAGCCAATACTTGAAACTAAACAGATAACTGATTCCTTCCAAAAAATAATAAATGAAATAGCAAATGAACAAAAATTTAATAAACAAAATTAAGTAAATAATAAGCAAATTAACAAAATATGAATGCATGCATAAACACAATTGAATGTAATAATAATAATCAATAACAACTAATTAATGAATAAATACAAAACACACTAAGTAATCAATAATGAATAGTGAGTTATGTTAACAAACAACACTATACAATATCTACAAATAACCACATTTGAACCCACAATTATTTCACCACTGTAACTTCTAGAGTAATTTGAAATCTAGCTGTTACTAGTCAGTTATGTGCCATGCGTGATACATGCTTAGGTGATCATGTATCTTTCAATACATGACTGATGAGACAGATTTTTTCCTGCAGTAGGTTGCAATTTCTTTCTGTGGTAGACCAGTTGCCATCCTGGGCTATAGAACTCGGTCTGTCCTGCTATTTATCGATAGCTGGGTGGGGGAGAAGAAGAGGATTCATACCTTTCCCAAGAGTATTAGCACCTAAGTGAATGTAATGGATTTAACAGGAATTCGATCTTGGATCTCCAATTCCTCAGTCCAAGCCACTATAGTTTAGTTTATTTCAATATTAAGGATCTTTATGGATATGTAAATAAAATGCAAGACATGTTTATTAAATAATCATGGTGATATTTTTTAACACAGGAATGGAAAACATTTCTACTGCAAATTATATAAATAACAATAACTCCTCATCCCAGAAATTTTGACATAAGTTTAAGCATAAAATTAAACTAAATCAAAAATAACTAAGTTTCTAATGACAAATTTTTTTCACCAAGTTGAAATAGCTGTTTATATATTAGGAACAAGAAAATTTAAAAGTAGAATGGGTATCTTCTGTGATATTACATTCACTTACGTGCTAATATTTTCAGTAATTCTTATAATTTTACTGCCTACAAGTTCAAAATTTTATTCCATCTTTCTTGCCTGTTGTCTTTTAAATTACTTGATAATTTCAATAAACAAACTGAAGTTTAGCCTAGCCATCAGGTCCATCCAATGTAGCTCTACATTCATCAATAAAATTAGTGTTGATGTTTTTTCGATCAACTTAGATATTTTACTTTGTTTACTTAAAAAGTAATAATTTGGTTGTTTTCAGCTAATATTATTCATATTCTGTATCATTTGTCTGTTTAGTCATAACATTAACTTCTTCAGATATTTTCTTGCTGATCAATCCACTTTCTTTGCTTTATTACTTATTTAATGTTTCTTGTCTCTTTTGTGACATTTTTAAAGCCAGAAATTTTTCCTTTGTTCTTACTAACTTTTTCAATTTGGTTTTATTGTCCAATGATTTCTGTTTTTCGTTGATTTTGTTTAGCCTCATTTAATGCCAAAATTTAAATATTTGTACACAATTTTATAGCTTCAACTATTTTGAATGCAATTATGTCTTCACTTACAGACAAAATGTATTGTTAGTTATTTCGCCATAAAGTGTGTTTGTCATTTTGTTATGAATAGGTATTGTTAGTCATTTTGCTATAAACAAGTATTTTTATACTTTCATAGTATTTTGTTTTTATTTGGGGGTTCATTATTTGCCCCTAGCTGGGACCCTAACAGGTGCTACAACCATGATTGCAGCATTTTGGCTTCAAGCTAAGAAAGAGCAACTATGAGACAGAGAAATGGCCCATTTCATTGGTTAGAAAGAAATCCCAGCAAGCATCTGTGTGTTTTGTCTATAAATTTAGGGAGGGGGAGATTTTTGCAATTATTCCTAAAAATTGTAACCAACAATTTTACTATAAAATATATTACTAGTCATTTTGCTTTAAAAATGTATTGTTGGTAATTTTACTATAAAAATGTATTGTTAGTAAATTTTCTTATAAAAATATATTGCTGGTATTTTTACTGTAAAAAGTGTTTTGATTTTTGTTTGGTGTGTGTAGGGGTGGGTCAGTATTAGATAATATCTGGGACCTTAACAGGTCCTATCATCCCAGGTCTGGGAACAACAGCAATTAAGAGGTGATTTCACACTACTCAGAACCTCTAATCTTTTGATCAGAGACCTTGCTGCCGGATGCAGTTTATTCTCATACCCAGGACTAGTTTTCTGTTTTAAGTTTTTTTTTTTTTTTTTTTCTGTTTATTCAATCTAAATATGTTCTTAATTTTAATCTATAGAGAACCATGATCACCTATGCCCTGAAAAGGGACATGGATTAAAAAAACAATGAACAAACAAAATGGTGCTTTGTCATCACATAAATATAATGACAATCAAATTTTTTTTATTTTTTTTAATCTTAACTGTATACAGAGATACTTAGTCATAAACAAGAAAATAGAAAAATAGAAAATGTAATATTTTTATTTTGGTCATCATTAATTTTATTTATATCTAAAATTTCCTGCAGCGAAGAAATCAACTTCTGCTAGCCTTTATTAATGCTCAAACTAAATAAATTATCTTCAGATGAAGTCACTAAAATATTTAGCCACTTTCTTGTGAAACTAGAAAGTAGTAATTTTTATCTACATGATCTCTAGCACTAAACTGAAGGCTTATTTCCTATGAATGATAAGATAAACTGAATTAATTTTGAGAAGATGAGAATTATGAGAAGGTGTTATTTGTGAAAAAGAGAGCAAATGTGAGAAAAAGAAAAGAGGGAGAGTAAGAGAAGCAGAGAAGGGAAGAGAAATGTAAGAGAAAGAAGAAAAAATTAAAGTGGGAGAGAATGTGAGAATGTTTTGAAGATGAAAACAGAGAGAAATGTGAAAAGGAGAAAAGAGAAATAGAAATGGATAGGAGAAAGTGGAGAGAGACTGAGAAAAGTGGACAGTAAAAAAAGCAGAGAGAAGGTGAGAAAGTGGACAGTAAAAATATAAAAACAGAGAGAGAGAGAGTAAAAAAAGTGCAAGTGAAAAAGTGGACAGTAAAAAAAAGCAGAGAGATAGTGAGAAAAGTGGACAGTAAAAAAAGCAGAGAGAAGGTGAGAAAGTGGACAGTAAAAATATAAAAACAGAGAGAGAGAGAGTAAAAAAGTGCAAGTGAAAAAGTGGACAGTAAAAAAAAGCAGAGAGATAGTGAGAAAAGTGGACAGTAAAACAAAGCGGAGAGACAATGCGGAAAGTGGACAGTAAAACAAAGCAGAAGTACAGTATGGAAAGTGGACAGTAAAGCAAAGCGGAGAGACTGTGAAAAAAGTGGACAGTAAAAAAAGCGTAGAGAGAGTTTGAAAAAAGTGGACAGTAAAAAAAGCGTAGAGAGAGTTTGGAATATAAAAAAAAAAAAGGTTGGACAGTAAAAAAAGGTAGAGAGAGGTTGAGAAAAAAAAAAGTAGAGAGAGGAAAAGTGGACAGTAAAAAAAAGCGTAGAGAGAGTTAAAAAAAAGTGGATAGTAAAACAAAGTGGAGAGAGGGTTCGAAAAAAGTGGACAGTAAAACAAAGCAGAGAGAGGGTTTGAAAAAAGTGGACAGTAAAAAAAGCAGAGAGAGGGTTTGAAAAAAGTGGACAGTAAAACAAAGCAGAGAAAGGGTTCGGAAAAAAGTGGGCAGTAAAAAGGAGTAGAAAGAGAGTGAGAAAAAAGTGAACAGAGAGCAAGAAAAAAGTGTACAGTGAAAAAAAAAAAAAGCAGAGAGTGTGAAAGAAGTGGGGAGAAGTTGAGAGAAACTGGAGAGTGGTGGAAAAATTGAGAGTGAGTGAGGTGTAGAGGAAATAGGTGGCGAGGGAGAATTCTAGTGGTTATAGTTGGCAATAGAGATGTGTTTGGGAGAAGGAGTGAATTGGAAGAGATAGAAGAAAAAATGTAAAACAGGTGATAAGTAGACAGAAATAAAGGGATTTCATGTGACTGAATAATAAAAAAAAAAAAACTTGCAAAAAGATTTCAGGAGAGAGAAGAAAGATTGAGTGATAGATAAAGATATTCAAGTGTTTATTTTTGAAAATAAGAAACAAAAGAGTCTATAAAAGGGAGTAGCTGAAGTACAACTGAGTGAATCGGAGAAATTTTTATATTTCTTGATGTCAATGAACTAGGTCACCACAAATACCTTGAAGGATTATATAGAATCCGCATTGAGAAATGAAACCAATTTTGAATTGCCTTTTGGTGAAAAAATAACCACAATCTATTTGTCCAGTCAGGTTTGACATGAACTAGAATTGGGCACTTTATTCTCTTTAAAGAAGGAAGGATTTATTTATTTTTATTTATTTTTTAATTAAAAAAAAATTATCAAAGGAAACTCTGAAAACAATGTAGTTTCAATTAAACCACAATAAGCCAATAAGAAAGGATTTTCATCTGAATTTATGAGATGGGGGATTATCTTTATAATCCACTAATTTATTTGAACTGGTGTTTCCTTGATACTTATATTCAGTTCTGTTCAATATATATACCTTTTCAGATGTCTGTGATATTTGCTCACAATTTTGGAATTTCAAACCAAACATTTTATTAATTTAATCTCTAGGGGTAGATTGTTCCCATTCTATTACTCAGGCTAGATGATCTCTTATTGCTTAATATCTTTATTTATTTTTTTTTTTTTTACAATAATGTTCAATCTGTACAAAGCCCAAGAGCCACTCGAGGTAGAGGGTTACAGAGTATCATCAGCAGAGATATACACAGAACAATGAAAGTTATCTCTTAGGTAGATACCTCCACTGATTCGCTAAAAAATTAGCATATCATGATGAAAAAATGTCCCAAGCTCAATAAAATCAAAGTTTCATCATCAAAATATTTGTTATTATTATGAGGAAAGATGAAAGGAGTTTTTGATTATTAAATTATATTTTTTGATCCTTTTTAGAATGTTCAAAATCTTGGATAAATTTTTTTTTTTTTTTACATCAGTGGGGGACCAAAGATTAGTAGAGGAAATTTTAGTGTCTTTTTTGTGGTGAAAAACATTGATTTGGAAATTATAAAAATCAAATAATTGTCAGATTTTAATGAAACTTTCAAGACTTATTCACAAATGAATTAAATTATTTTATAAGATCTTGGCAAAGGATTTTTTTTTTTTACATTTATTAGCGCCCCCCCCCAGCCCCCCGTTTTTTAATTTTATGAAATTTCAAGAATTTCATTTTTGTACCACTTAATGTTCATATAAGTTATATGCAGATCTACTTGGAGAATTTAAATAATCAATTTTTTTTATTTTTTTTAGTAAATCAGAACACCCTGTTACCAAAAATTTGCTCAATATTGTAAAATAAAAAAATGCAATAAAACTAAGACATTATTTAATTAGGAAAGCTTTTAATTACTTATATGAATAATATATATTATGGATACTATTGTCTTTAGATAAAATATGTTTTCAATGAATCTCTTTAAAGAAGGGAGGAGTGAAAGCCTTTTTTTTTTTTTTTTTTTTAAAGGAGACTTTCAAAGCATTGTAGTTTTAATTAAGCCATAATAAACAAATAAGAAAGGATTTTAATCTAAATTTATGAGAGGGGGATAATCTTTATAATCTACTAATTTATTTGGACTGATATTTTCTTGATTGTTATATTTAGTTATATATATATATTTACTTTTTTTGTCTGTCATATTTGCTTACAACCAGGACATTTCAAACCAAGCATTTTATTTAATCTCTAGAGGCAGTGTTCCCATTCTGCTATTCAGACTAGAGGATCTTATATTATTTTTTTTTTTACAATAATGTTCACCCTGTACAAGGCCCAAGAGTCACTCAAGATAGAGGGTTACAGAGTAAGAGGCACAGTTTATAGGGATATGTGGGGAAGATAATGGTTAATCCTAGACATGAACAGGTTAAGATTATAGTAATTGGGGGAAGCATCCTCTTTGGAGTAGATTTTACAAAGCAGCTGCTCATGGGAAGAAGCAGCTTGAGTGCACCTTAGGTCTCACCAATGGAATATGGATTGAAGATGGTTTGCTATAATGTGTATGGCATGGCAGGTCTTAGCTGTGAAAGTTAGAATTGGTGGAAAATAATTTATCACCCACAAGGATGCAAGGGCACTTTTGGATTCTATCAAGATTAGAAAGTGAAGACTGGGCAGCTTCTATCCATATATAGCATCTACTATATTTTCGAACTCTAATCTTGGTTATGTAAAGATAGAGGATAGCAGGAGTCAGATACTTACTGGAGCAGTACAGAGAACTGACCATTTTTCCAGCATCTATAGTGATGAAGCATCTATACAAGTAGAACTCATACTTATAATCCATCACTAAAGATGTCGGAAAAATGGCCAGTTCCTTGTACTGCATCAGTAAGTTCCACTTGATGTTTGGGTTGAGCTTTTCGGAAATTAGTAATTCTTTCAGGAAAGGTGAGATTTGGAAAGGATTTCTTTCTGGAGCCAAATTTCAACTTTTTGATGCATTCGGCCTTGTGATTTGTTTATAATTCTTGCAAACGACTGACATCATTAATAAAGATTATATCTGGTCACTCTATGAGTGCTAGTGATGTCATTTAACCCAGTACTATCTACTGCATTAATATAAAATTATTTACAGATATCTTGTATATAATTTTATACTCTCAGGTTAAAGGGGATTTTTAGATATATAGTTTGTAGATCATAAAATGTATTGTTGGTAAATTTAGTATTAAAAATATGTTCATCATGATAGGTGAAAATTCTTTGTTCCCTTGATGATGATAGAACATCACTAGTTTGGTTTTCGAGGCACTGAATGTGACTAGCCTGTTTTTCAATTCACTGAGCTGTTAGAGCTCGGTCAGAGTAAAGATCAGCTATCATGCTTTGGTCATCTAGAGTTTTGGAGATGTGCTCATATACTGTTGTATCATCAGTATAGATATTTATAAATAATTAGAGTATACACTTAGGAAGATCATTATTATTCTAAATGTTATTTTAGTGGATATGCTCAGTTTGAGTAGATCACTTTTTTTCTTTTTTTTTTTTTTTTTAAAACAGTATGAATTATATCTACTTGCCTGTGTATTTGAGAGACTTAAAATGAAAAATGTGCTCTATGGCAGGACTTGAACCATTTCTTTTGAACACCATGGGCAATAGTGAAAGTTGTTATGTATCTGTGGCCTTGCTTAAGGTGAGAATTGGATGCATACAACATGTGACTTGAGTTAGAAGCTATTATCAAAATGCAAGATAAATAACACAGAATTAATAAAGTTTGCAATGAAAAGTAAAAAGGTCAAAAAGGATGAAACAGCAACAATCATGCAAGCAAGCAAACTAAAGCAAATCAAACAGGTAAGAAGGCAAAAGAATTCACAAACTAAGAGTTGGTGTTTCTACAGAAAACCAAGGCTGGACAAGTGAATGCAGTATGTCTGTCTAGTAGTTAAGGCAGATCTGGACTGAGTTATGTCAAAACGCAAGCTGTCCCATTTTATTGGCTAAGAAAAATATCCCAGCATGCATTTTGTGTCCTTCCAACTATAAGAGGGGGAGGGGGAAAATGGCTGCAATCATTCCCCACCATGAGGGAAATCAACATGACTAGTAACAAAAAAATTATTTAGTTCCCTTGTGTTAAGAGAATCTGTTTTTATGAATTAAACCTTTCTGATTTTTTTCATTCGAATTCCAATATTAAATCCATTTTTTTTTTTTTCAATTTCAGCAAATATGAAAATATGTTGTCATTAATAACATTTTTTCTGTATCAAGCAAGTTAAGTAAAACACTGGCCAATGTTTTTGTGAGTTCATGCAGGACTGATTTTTTTTTTTTTGTGAATTTTTTTTTCTAAGGAAATGACATATGCATGTTTGCTGCTTGTACAAGGAATAAAGTGCTGAGAAAACATCAGAAACACTTCTGAGATTTCCCTAACATTGTGCAAAAGAAAGTGCTAAAACTTTATGAATCAATCATAGATACCATAATCACACACATACACATATATTTGAACTGTCATCTTTCTTTCGTGGCTGTGCATTGTGGTGTAATGGATATTGGCTCAAAATGAGAACTCAGAGGGCCAAGTTCAAATTCCAGTTGAGTTTGTTATATTCACTTAGGCACAAATACCCTCAGGAAAGGTATGAATCCATCTCTTCTCCCCCAGATATGGGTTAAATAAAACAGTGGGTTCTTTAGCCTTTGGCAACCAGTCTACTGCAGAAAGAAATGGCAACCTACTGCTGGAAAAAATTTCTGCCTCGTCAGTCATGTATCGAAAGATTCATGATTATCCAAGCATGTATCGTGTGTGGTGCTTAACTGACTGAGTCTTGCTTTTATGTAGGTTTAAAAAAAAAAATAATAGACAAGAAATATCTTATAAGATTTTTATTTAATTTTTCTGTGTTCTTACAAGGTTTCATCTTTGAAGATTAAGTGTGTGGAGAAATTGTTTATAGTATTGGTTTTGGTTGATACTTTAGTCATTTAAAAGAGGTATTAGTTTTCTGTGGTGACTAGGATTAATAATATGTTTTGTTTTCTATGATAGTTTATGTGAAAAGCATTTTTTTTCTTTTTAGTGGAGTTTTGCATAGTTTTCAAATACAGCTTCACTTAATATCACCACATATGAACTACATTCGTATGTGGTGCTATTAAGTGAAGGTTTCTCCACACTCACTGTCTTTAAAAAAGTAAACGTATAAAGATACAAGAAAAAAAAGAAAGACCCACAAGATATTCTTTTTTTTATCCATTTTTAATGAAACACATATATAGTATATAGTGGTGAATAAATATATAATGATACGTTCCCTTTGAGGAGGCTGAAAAGTATATTTTCAGCAGAATTTTGTTTGTAACACATCTGAAGACATTTCATGATAATGAGAATTTAAGTTCAAGGAAGATAATGAATGCCACTTGAGAGCAATTCTAAGTCCCCTTCCTGGTACAGACATGCAAAACCCCCCCCAAAAAAAAAACAAAGGCTTAATTTATAAACAGACTTATCTGTGCAAATTTTGAAATTTTCAAAATCTACCAGATATAGTGAATCGTCCATATTTTTTCAAATAATGCATTTTTTTTTTTTTTAAATAATATATTTTTTTTAAAAATAGATAAACATGTTTGTTCAATTTTCCTTCTTTTTACTTAAAAGAAAAGCCGGGGCTATGTTTATTTGCACTTCATATGGCAGTATCACTTTCTATGAAAAGAAATTTATCTATTTCTGAACACTTATTTTGGATAAAGTTATAAGACCTAAATTAATTTTTCTTCTTGTAAGTATTTAACTCAACCCATAACACAATTTACTTATCTACTTGACTAACCCATTGTTTCTTTATCCGAAATTAACTCATGACATAATCCACATGTCTTTATGGAAGTGAAAACGTTTTTTTTTTTTATAACTTCTTTAAAATTAGCAGCTGGTAGGTTTGTTAGTTTTAAATCCAAAAATATTCAGATAGCATTAAATAACCTCCTTCCTGTTTGAATTTTATTGCTCTTAAAATTTACAGGTTCCTACTGCTAACCAGAAGTAAAATATTCCTGTGAAAAATTTTGTAAACAATTACCATTAATTAATTTTGGAAAAATTTTGAGTATTCCTAAACTCCCAAATAATTTTGCTTGAAGATTTTGCTATGACTAGCAGGACTTTAGTTATTGCAGCAAAGTATAACTTAAATTTTGAAGGAGCATGACAGTTTAGGGTAGGTTTTTAGGTCGTTTTGAGTATCTTCAAAGGGGTTGGTTGGTTACTGGATTTAATGACGTTGGAAGGGATATTTAATAGTAAAGCCTATTTTTTTATGATACTTGCATCCATTGTCAATATAGGCTGCATTTAGGCTCATATTAATTGATTGACAGACATAGGTCACATTTACGCTGATGTCAATGGGTCGACATAAGTCATCTTTATGCCTATGTTCATAAGCAGAAGTAGGTTTTATTTAGACTTACATACACTCTCATCAGTGACCTGATATGGGTCATATTTACATTCACATCCATGGACTGACATAGGTTGTGTTTATGTTCATGTTCCTGGATAGGCATAAGTTATGATTATATACAAGGCAGGCCTTCAAAGAAATATATGATAGAAAATTGTTTGTTAATTATATGTAACATTATGTGCGTGAAGTCAAAAAGAATAGGTTACTTTTAAAAGGATTAGGTAAAAGATGAAAAAAAAAAAAAAGAATCTTTGAACTAGTAGTCGTCCATGCGTATTGTTGGGACATGTGCTTTTGAAATATGATGTGATCTGAGATCTTTGAGTTCAGAAGATTCACCAACTTGCAAAATTCTCAACAGAAGGAAGATGAAGAAATAAATGATAGTGGGATAATTGATGGATTGCACTTGGATATCATGTTGCAAGTCCTGATTCAAACATTGATGTTGGCTATCACAAAAAAAGAAAAAGAATTAAAAGGATGTGGTGTATTTGACTGCCTTTTCATTTAATCATGAATTAAAAAAAAAATTATCAATTAGCAAAATGGCAATAGCTTACTTGTAAAAACGATTTTTTCTCTACAAAATCTTTCACTGAGAATTTTTGTTTCCTAGTGAACATGTGACCTGAAACTGCTACAATGTAGGAAGCAAAGAAAAATTCACTTTCTCACTCTCCTTGAATAACAAGTAATTAGTAAGTTTCCCTACTAAGGACAATAAAAGGAGTCAATACAGACTATATGTGTTGTGCAGTTTAACAACATATGAAGAAACCTTTGTCTTGTTGAAAAGCATCTAATTTGATTTTCAGCAACAGAGATAGGCTAATTTTAAAATATTGGTCCCTGGGAAATCTGTGGAAATTAATGTAATTATGCAACTGATTTGGTCCACTACTAAACAATGACAATAGTTACTAAATGCCTATAAGATATCATAACAGTCTCATATATACTGACATATTTCAAACCTTCTACAGTAGATGATAAACCTGAACATTAAAGCAAATTGTTGGTTCCAATTATTGTTGGAATGCCTGCAAAACACTTTCCCCTCCTGAGTTTATAGGTGAACGAACACTAATGCATGCTGGGAATTCTTCCTAGCCAATAAAATAGGCCAGTTCTTGGTTTCATCTGACTCAGTCCCAGTTTGTCTTGTCTTGAGGTCAGAATGCTACATTTGCTTATCTAAATTTGCTTTTATATGTTAACTCCAATTCTTAGTTTGTAAACTTTTTGCTTTATTACTGTTAATTAGCCTTGCATATATTGTCTACATGCTTTTACACTATTTTTGTCCGGTCCAGTTCTTGTTATTGCGTATTGTAAACTTTGCCAATTCTGTTTGTTGGGCAGTTCTGTCATTTGTTTATATTTAACCATAGCCATGCATTCTACACAAGCAATTGGAGAATATTATTTCTGTTTTTTAACCTGGAAACACTTGAAAATCTTTCCTATATAACTTAACGGTAATTGCTTCTTCACTTTATGCCATTTTGGAGGATGGTGGAAACCTGTCTTAATATTGGTCTTTTGTGAAAGTGAAATGGTGTAAATGGGTCAATGGGTTAAAAATCATTGTCTAATATAATAATGTACACGTGTAAATGAAATAGTTTTTCTATAACTTAGTCTTGTTGCTTTTGCTTAAGCAGGGATATCTATATAAGCACAAGTTCTACTTTTATCTTGTGTGACAATCTTGATAAATGAATTGGTTCACTTACATAAATTAGAGTGTCAGTGAAAAATGAAAGATAAGGTGTTTATTGAGTAAAACCAGCTTTGGTAGAAATCCAACATTTAGGGAAAACCCAGTTAGAAATTAAGTCACCAGTAATGGTTTGTCAGGTGAGTATAATAACTAATGTTCTCTGACTTATGTCTTCTTGAATACTAAGTTAGTTTGTTAGTTCTTCCTGCATGCTTCAGTGCATAGGATAACACTTCTCCCCTACCCTCATGTTGATCAGCTGCATCCTGTTCTATTTCTTCCCATTATTATTTTAATTATTTAACATTTCTTGAATGTCCTGTACCATGTTATTCATTTCCTTAATCTCCTTTGATGGTTCCTAGCCATCTTTGCAAGCTCTGTCTATATTTCTGAAATGAGGTACTGTAATTATTTACATTGTTCAGACTATTGTCTTCATCTTTGTTGTCATATTCACAACACTTCGCCCATTGTATTCTCCAGCCTTCTTCAGGATCTGTCTATATTTCTGAGATGAGGTATTGTAATGATTTCCAGTATTTACATTGTTCAGACTATTGTCCTTATCTTTGTTGTCATATTTACATTGTTCAGACTATTGTCCTTATCTTTGTTGTCATATTCACAACACTTCAGCCATTGTATTCTCCGGCCTCCTTCAGGATCTGTCTATATTTCTGAGATGAGGTATTGTAATTATTTCCACTATTTCCATTGTCTCGTCTATTGTCTTCATTTTTGTTGTTATATTCACAACAGTTCAGCCATTGTCTTTCATTTTTGTTTTTATATTCACTAACTTTGTTCAGACTATTCGGTCATATTCACAATACTTTACTTCAGCCTTCTTCAGGATCTGTCTATATTTCTGAGATGTTCAGACTATTGTCCTTATTTTAATGATTTCACAACACTTCAGCCATTTACTTTGTTCAGACTATTGTCTATTTATCTTTGTTGCCATATTCAACAATTGTTTACTTCAGGATCTGTCTATATTTCTGAGATGAGGTATTTTAATGATTTCCACTACTTACTTTGTTCAGACTATTGTCCTTATCTTTGTTGCCATATTCACAATACTTCGGCCGTTGTATGTTCCGGCCTTCTTCAGGATCTGTCTATATTTCTGAGATGAGGTATTGTAATGATTTGCAGTATTTACATTGTTCAGATTATTGTCCTCATCTTTGTTGTCATATTCACAATGCTTCGGCCATTGTATGCTCCAGCCTTCTTCAGGTGATTGGAATTTTAAACTGAACCCTTTATTTCGTCCACCAGCGTAGATTGTTCTAGTTCCATGTGCCATGCCTCTACCAGACACATGGTCCAATGGAAAAAATCATTGGTTGGATCCAGTGACTTGACCTAGAGAGTTGTGAGTTCAATACCTGGCTACTGTAGAGGTGAACAATAACTTGGAGAGTTGAGTTATAGGGAGATAACTGAGACATCTGGAAGAGGCATGGCATGTGGAACTAGAACAATCTGCCCTGGTGAATGAAATAAAGGATTCTGTTCGAAATTCCAATCACCTGAAGAAGGCCAGAGCATATTACAACTGAAATATTATGAATATGGCAATAAAGATGAGGACAACAATGTAAATAGTGTAAATAACTTTGCATGGTGTTTGGCTGGCAAATGAAAAATGTGTCCAGCCATCTTAGTCTGTTCTCAGTGTGACTGTGTATATCTCAGCAGTTCTATATTTGTGAGGTTTACCACCATATCACACTGAAACACTCAGTTCTTGTACAATCACCAAGGTTAAGCAACATCGAGCCTGGTCAGTACCAAGATGGGAATGCCAGGTGCTGTAAGCTTTGATGTATGAGCAGTGTAATGGATAATGGCTCAGAATTGGTAATTGGAGATCCAAGTTCCCATTCCATTTGGGTTCATAATATTCATTTATGTGCAAATGCTTTTGGGAAAGGTATGGATCCACTTCTCCCTCAGCTATGGGTTAATCAGTTGGACTTGTATCAGTAAATCATTATTATCTCCAAAAAATTCTTACAATCTAAAAAATATTTTCTGGCTTTAAATAATCTGCAAAAGGTTGAAAGGCTATAAAGAAACAAATTAATCATCAATTATATTTGTGATATGGTTTTTATATATATAATTTTTTTTTTTTTTTTAATCAAATTCACCCCAAGCAAGGCAGTAAAGCTGCTAAGACACAAGGGGTTACTGAAGTTGAGATGCCAGGTTAGGACTAATAATATTACTGATTCTACTTTGGATTTTATCAAGAATCTTAAAATATATAGCTGGAGCACCAGAACATATGTGGCAGCAATATTCTCGATATCCTTAAGATTTTTCTTAGACAATTCTGGTAGATTATGTCAAATTGTTTGGAGATAGACACTATTGCTTTTCACATTTCACCAGCATAAATGGCTGTTAATATCACATTTTTGCTGTATCTTTAGATTGGTACTGACTGAAGACATTGAACAGATAAATTATCAAATCAAAATTGTGGTGACAAAAAAAAAAAAGAAAGATTCAGAATTGAAACTGTCAAATGTTCTGATATCATGATCAAAGTGCAAAATTACAGACTGCAGTTTAATTATGTGTTGTGGCCTTGTTAGGGCCAGAAATAGACACAAAGAGAGGAACTGAGTTAAACAAATATATTAACAGAAACAGTAATACAAACATATACAAACAAGAGTGTTACAGCAAGAATGTTTGGTCCAACTGTCAGAGCTGACTGCTGGAAACTTTCCTCCCCAAAAGGCAGTACCTGCTCCTATTTATAGCTGGGAGAGTCCATGTGTGTATGTGGGTAGATTATCATAACATTATGCTAGAAACCTTATTGGAGTACTTGGTTATTCCTGAAAGTTATTACTACTGTAGTGAGTTGTCATTAGGTGACTCACTACAATGGTCTTGTGCCAGACAAACTAAAACTTAGTAAATAGAAATTAAAAAAAGAAACGAAATATAACAGTACAGCAATTGTTAGCAATCACATCCTGCAGACCATTACTACTGTAGTGGGTTCACTTGTCATTGTGTTACTCACTACAGTAGCCTTGTGCCCGATAAAACAAAGCTTAGTAAATAGAAATTAAAAAAAAAAAGAAATTCTCCTTTTGAATAAAATATAATTGTGCAGCAATTGTCAGCAATCATATTTTGCAGACTATTACTACTTTGTGAGTTGTCATTGAGTGACTCATTACAATGGCCTTGTGCCAGACAAAGTGAAAAACAGTTTGAGAGACCCAGGCATATTTTCACATAACAGACCTACAAGTTAGAAGGGAACTGATTGAAAGACAACCAAGAAGAAACTATATATCTCTACAGCCTCCCTTGATTACTTTGATGTTAGGATTGTCCGTTAACCCAGGATTAGACATTATCAAATGATTTTATTCACTACCAGGAACCTATTGATTTTTATATGATGTTTTATGACGTTCAAGAAACAGGAAAATTTTATTAGAAAGAAAGTACTGAACTGCTACATAATATCAATCTGCCTCTATGGCAGTGAATGCTGGGCAATCTCCTTACAGATGAAGAA